ATGAAACTGCTGATCATATGGATAAAACAAGTAATGAAATTGGTAAAACAATTACCTTAAAAAAACAAGTGATCAAATTAAATAAGCAAGTAATTGGTAAAACAAGTAATGAAATTGACTATGCAAGTAAATGTATTGAAAATACCCCAAGTATTTTAATTGGTCTGATTTAAAGGTTAGTGTTTGCTGCTCAAACCAAAGAGGTTTCATGAGAGGGTGATTGCCTTCACCTACAGGTCATGTCTTTGGATGCCTTTCACATTTTTCTCAGACGTCTTGAGCTGAAACAAAGAGTCTTTTTGTTGCTAGAACATGTCTTGAAACTGACATGAATCTTCAGTGGTCTATCTCCTGCAACCTAAAATGTTATGTTAATTCAGTTTGGAAGCCTTTTAAGGTTCACTGTGTTTTATAAACATTAAACAAGACAGTGTCTAATTTGACATTGACACAGTTTCAGACAAAAAGCTTTTGCCATCTTCCTATCTTTGTTGTCATTCTCTTGAGAACTATTTTTATTAAACTGGTAAAGGTTACGTCCAAGTTGATGATGAACACTCAGATGACTTGTCCTTCAAGATACATACTGTCATGCATCTGAATGACACCTCACATACATCTGCTCCGTGGACATTGGTAGCCATACTGGTTCAAGCATTCGTTACTGACAATTTGATTGGTGTAAAAGGGGAAAATGTCAAGTTCTTTATCACGAGGAACATCAGTTTGGGAGTGAAAATGAAGAAGTTGACATCTGTAAATGTTCACCTTTTATGTGTATCACATCAAAATGACACTCAAAATTTTGTTTGATTGTCCTTCGTGAAGATGTTGAGTCAATAAGAGAAGAACATACACCTTCACTCCTGGTTCACATCATTCCCTCCAGTCTGGTAATAGTGTCAGAATCTATATCAGAACATGGCTCAGTGCAATGAATTGTTAGCTGTAAAGTTGTGCTGATTCTCATTTGTTGGCTCTACTTTATGGACTTGATTTAGCAGGGACACCTGACTGGTCAAACTGTCCAGGACAAAGCTAAACAAAATCAGATATACTGAAGGAAACAAGTAAGGGAACACCACTTCATCGCAGGGTTCATGTATTTATAATCAGAATTTCACCAACAGTGCACAATACAAAGCTTACAACAAAACCTGAAAAGGATAAATGAACTCTTGTACTATTATGTGTTCCCTTATTTGTTTTCCTCAGTATATAACGAATACATCTGTCACTCATTTTGGAAATAGCTAGGGACTTGATCCTGTTGTTATTCTTTAACCTGCAGATGTAGTTGCGAGTAGAGTGGAGCATCTGACCTTGAGATCAGAAGGTCTGTGATTTGAATCACATGGGATCTAGGGATTTCATGGCCACTACATTGGCTGTTCTGAATGACATTATTTTCTTTTATTAAATCCCATTTTGTTTCCTTCAATCAAATCAATTTTCCACTCTTGAGTTATAGTTTTAAATTTTTCAGTTCCTAGTTTCACATGTAACCATACAAGATGGCCGAATTGCCTCATGGCAGGAAATACGAACTTGCTTGCTTGTAATAACCTGATTGTAACCTGAATATAAGGAATAAACCCTTGTGGCCTAGAATAACCTTGTCTTCATTAGTAGGGCTGAGCAGGTTCATGTTAGGTTTGAGGAAGATAAGTAACAGGGTGTGTAGTCATCATACAGTTGGCATCCTGTCCTCATCAGTTAACCTATATAGTGATGTATATGAAGCATGCAGCATTGGACCACATGACCCATACACAAGACTATGAAAGAAACAGGATCTGCAAGTCACAAATAATACTGTAACACAAGCTGTGAGGCAGCACAATTCCACCTAACTTCATATCTATATCCGGAACAAAAGTATCAGGCTTCAAAAGTTTGGTTTCACATTGACTGAGTCCAGATACTAATGTACACTGGCACACAATAAAATCACAAAGTCATGTTGTCAAGCTTCATCCATCATCTGCTTCTGTGCATAACCATCTCAATCATATCAAGCGAGATTCAAATCTGAACAATGCCATTGTTATGATTGAATACCTCAGGCATAAGTATAGTATATAAGTATATAAGTAAGGCACAGAATAACTAAATTACATTTTTGTGGCCGTTTTTGCCAAATATTGCAAAAGATTGAATATCGGTGTAATAGATATCCAATGTCCATTTTGTAATCTATCTCAAGAAGATGATTACCGTGTATTACTTATATGCCCGAAAATATGTAGAAATAAGATAAAAATATTTTCCTTATTTGTTCTACAACCAACCGTCAACACATAAATTCTGTATGCTACTTCGCACAGAAAATATTGACTTATTGTTTAAGGTCGCCTTGTGTTGTGCCACATACTTAGGTTGAGAGAAAAAATGTAAATTGTTAATGGGTGTTTATGGATTTATTGATGTTGCTATAACTCACGTATTTACAGGTTACGCATAAATTCACTGTTATATTTTACACATGTATTATTGGCCTCAGGGCCACTTATACAAATAAATTATCTGCCTGTCTGTCTGAATAACGGTGGCTGAGTGGGTTAGGTGGCTGACTTTGTGTGCTGGCGATTAGGTGCCTGACTCTGAGGGTGTGGGTTCGAATCCCATATGGGACTCAACCCAGCAAAAGTACTAGAATCTGTTGTTTAATAAGAAAGTGTAATCCCAAATATAACATATGTTACATTTTCAATGTGTTTCCATGTAAGACCAAGAAGTCAACCAATTGCAAACATTCCATAGATATGGGACACAAAACCAAAGCGAGTCACTTTTATAAATATTCTGGGAAAGCCTATTCTTGGAATTCTCTAAGGGATTCCAAACATTGCTGTTTTGGTGGAATCATTAAAAAATATATAAATCAAATTCCTCCAATACATCAAGGTGAAATATATTGTGATGTTTCAAAATTACATTTACATATTTTTCAGCCGATATTGACCTTGCTGCAGTCTTTGTCATGAAGTACAACCAATAAAATATTTCAATTAATCTTCATATTTTGGTTATGCACTGTAGCATATCATACAGCCGATTATATATATCTCATTTAAATTATTTATTTAGACAAGCTTTATGATTATTAATATTTTTTTGTAAACAAATTTAAATTTAAAAATTACATGAGTTTGTTTCTTCCTGATCAATTTATACCTCTCTGGATACCATACATTGAAACAAAATATCAAACAGTGACCTTTGTTTCCAGTGACCTAGAACTCAGTGACAGACCTGGAGTAAACAGGCTTGATGCAAAAACATCCTCCAATTAGACTAGGACCAAGTAAACAGCTTGCAAAATGTCTATCACAAGACTTCCCTTGTGTAGGACCCTGTTCCATCCTTGGGATTGCTGCAAGCATCTGATGTTGCTGTTTTGTTGTCCCACTGTTGATGTACTGCAACCTTCCACCTGGGAGATTTGGTGTCAACTCAAGGATGTACTTATTCATGGGCTGTCTAATCCCTGTCCTGATTGTCTTGCTGGTTTTGAATCTCTAGAATGCAAATGTTGAAGGGATACCATCTGACGAGACGGGAATAAGCATATGTGCTGATTTACTAGTGATAGAGTTCTGCATTATGGAAACATGATGACATTAAATGGTGAGATTCCATGCTTTCGGTGGTGCCTCTGCCCTCTGTGGCATATGTAGGAGCTACCCAGTGCTACACGAGATTTGGAAAGGAATTCAGCTATATCTATGTCATGCTGGAATGAGGCTTTCTCATGTTTTAGCCCATACATGTATTGATTGTCATTGAGATGGGACCAAAACAAGGCCGCTCTTGCAAATATGTTTATCCTGTGGGATTTCTAGGAATAGATCAGAAGAAGGAGCGTCCGCCCGGAGAGCGGAAGGTCGCGGGTTCGATCCCCGACCGCGTCATACCAAAAGACGTTAAAATATGGTACTTGTTGGTCCCTGCCTGGCGCCCGGCATTAATTGGTACAACAAGGACTGGTTGGCTCGGAGTCAGTATAATGTGTCTGAGTGGGGTATTCATGCTTCACTGCGGCATGGTATCTCAGTGGGCTAGCACTATAAAACCAGCTTCAGTCTGGGCTAGTACAAGCAGCCGCACATACACATACACACGCATGCACGTCGTCATATGAGCAAAATATTCTCAAGCACGACGTTAAACCCAATTTCACCTCACCTCACCTCAGAAGAAGGTCAGAATAATTTGGAATATTGTCAGTAGAGGTTGCTTTTACCTGTGCCTATGTTGACTTTAGGTGAGAATTTGCCTTACATCAGACTTTGTGTCCCCTTATTGGGATTCGATTTCAAAACAGCTCCCTAGCAACCACACAGGTGTTTTTGGCTTAATTCTCAGCACACGATGCATTCTGGTCAGAATATGGTCCCAGGTCCTAAAGATGGTCTTCCTGGTGGGATTTTTTGTCAGAGTTTGGGTCCCAGATCCCAAGATGGTCTTCCTGGTGGGATTTTTTGTCAGAGTTCGGGTCCCAGATCCCAATGTTGGTCTTCCTATTGGGATTCTTTGTCAGAGTTTGGGTCCCAGATCCCAAAGATGGTCTTCCTGGTGGGATTCTTGGTCAGAATAGGTTCCCAGATCCCAATGTTGGTCTTCCTGTTGGGATTCTTTGTCAGAATAGGGTCCCAGTTTCCAATTCTTTGTCTTCCTTTTGGAATTCTTAGTCAGAGTAGGGTCCCATGCCAGATCCAAATGTATGTCTTCCTTTTGCAATTCTTGTTCAGAATATGATGGTACAATTCCCAATTTTGACTTCCTCTGTATGTTCCCTTGTTTTGACCAAGTGACCAATTTACTTGTCTCTGCACCTGGCTTCATGCATATTTGACAATGATTCATGGGAGATGTTTTATGTTTATGGTTATGATTCATAAACAGGTGAGATTTCTCAATTTGGAATGAGTATTGTCACTTATATTTTCAGCAATCAGACGTCAACTCTGATCCTAACTGATCTGATCTTGTTACAGTGCCTGTGGTATCCAACACCTTCAGCGAGGAGGGAACCACCACTTTGGTCTGTTCGAGTCCTTCTGGTTTGTGGTGGTGACATTTTCCACAGTGGGCTACGGTGACGTCTATCCTGACATCTGGCCCAGCCAGCTCTTCATGCTGTTGATGATCTGTGTGGCTCTCTTCATCCTGCCCACACAAGTAAGTATAAGTGATTTAGTGTTGAACACACCCGCAGTAGATACAAATACCAGTCCAAAACCATGTTTTCGTATCTCACATTTGCTGAATAACAGATTTTAACACACTCTTTACTTCAATTGTATTCCCACAGCCAGAGACTGACTGACTGACTTGAGTTTGGATTTATGCCACTTTTAGCAATATTCCACCAACATCACGGCGGGGGACACCAGAAATGGGCTTCACACATTGTACACATGTGGGGATTCGAACTGTACCCATGTTGGTCTTCGGCGTGACGAGCTAATGCTTTAACCACTAGGCTACCCCACCGCCCCCACAGCAAAAGAAAGAAGATAACATCAGTTGCTCTAATGCCTGTGACATTATCCACAGAATTATATGCTCTCAAATTAGCTGGTTTAAGATTAAAACTGACCCAAGAGTATTTGAGCTAATGACAAAAATAATGTTACAATCTGTGACCTGCTTTTGTCATTGTAATGCCATTGGACGGACGGTTGCTCATGCTGTTAACCTCTTAACATATTAAGTGGCATGACAGATTAGGTATGGTCAGGTATCCTTAACTTCTTAAGAGTAGACCCATGAAGATCCGGGTTAGAACTGATCTTCAGTAACCCATGCTTGTCGTAAGAGGTGACTAACTGGATCGGGTGGTCAGAAACGCTGGCTTGGTTGACACGTGTCATCGGTTCCCAATTGCGTAGATCAGTGCTCATGCTGTTGATCACTGGATTGTATGGTCCAGACTCGATTATTTGCAGACTGCCGCCATATACCGTTAATATTGCTGTGTGCAGCATAAGACTAAACTCACTCACTCACTCTTAAGAGTAGTGTTGATGCAATAATTTCAATATTATCTTCAAGGAGAAGACTTCTCCCTAAAGATACCATTAAATATATCAAAGAATTATTAGTGTGCCATTACTGTATGAATTCAGCTGAATGCACATGTGGAACAGTGACACTCCACAGTCTCTGCCCATGGACATTATGGGAGATGAGGTTGCCATCCAACAGGACTGTTAAGTACAGATTATTTGGCCACATTGACAACAAACATTATAAATCCTGGATTTAGTTGATTCTACTGATGGCAGAATCATCTTTCTATTGAAATGTCAGCTTAGTTTTTGAATACTGACATCTTGTGTACACAAGTTCTTAAACCCAAATATAAACATCTTATCGGCACAGACAGTGCTGAATAAAGGAAGCAAAGCTAAACAAAATGATTAACGTTTTCATGCACAGAGAAATAAGCATGAAATCGTTATTGACAAGTCATAAATGAACTGTCAATCATGAAGAAAATGATCAATATTTCATATGCTAGACGTCATGGGTTTTCAGTGGCTTTCCCCAATAACGGAACTGTCCAAGAGTCTTCAGGTTCCTTTGAAACTATTTGGATGTGAGGCTGTGAGCTTTTGTCTATACAATGCTGTTTTTTCACCTACTCTTGAAATGCAATACTCTTTACTGCTGTTCCAACACTGAACATTAACTGAGATGACTTTTGAAATATTGATCTATCATCTGGGGTTTTCTTGAAGAGGGATAATATGAGATGAAAGCAATGGTGCAATGTGAGACTACTTCATATTATATTGCTCTGGATTTATTCCATATAATAATTCTTAAGTCATATGAAAATAGCTCCCTGCTCTTATTCAGAGGGGGGTTGGGTAGCATAGTGGCTAAGGCGTTCGCTCATCATTCTGAAGACTCGGGTTCGTTTCCCCACATGTACAATGTGTGAAGCCCATTTCTGGTGTCCACCGTGATATTGCTGGAATATTGCTAAAAGTGGCTTAAAACCATACACACTCACTCACTCTTATTCAGCATGGTGCCATAGTCTCTGAGACAATGCTAAAAATTGTTTCTGTGGTTGATGGATCTTATATTTAGCGTTGTAGAAAAATTCCCAGTGAGGCAGCTTGTGACATTTTGACAGACTGATTCTTGAAGGATAGTGAATGGAAGGACCTTGTTTCAATGATTAAAGTAACTCGCACACATTAGCACAGACTTATTGTCATAATTGATTCATTGAATGAGATGTTTGCACTTAAACTGACAAAAAGAAAATACACAAGTGGTTCTTTGAGGTTATTTTACATCAGACAATGTAATTACTTTGAAAAGTGCTTTGATTGTGACATGCATCACAGATGTTGTACCCAAACGTTTCGCACTCAGTGTAGATAATCCCAAATACCAGGTGTATCTCTCAGTTGTACATCATTTTATGTTGTTACTGTGGGCCAGTCTAATCACCATATCATTATCAACAGCTAAAGGCTTCAGGATCAACAAGATCTGTGTTAGAATTGATCTTCAGTAACCCATGCTTGTCATAAGAGGCGACTAATGGGATCAGGTGGTCAGGCTCGCTGACTTGGTTTACACATGTCATCGGTTCCCAATTGTATAGATGGATGCTCATGCTGTTGATCACTGGATTGTCTGATCCAGACTCGATTATTTACAGACCGTGCCAAATAGCTGGAATATTGCTGAGTGCTGTGTAAAAGTAAACTCACTCACTCACTCCAGATGAAAGGTCATTATCAACAGCTACCGTAAGGCTTCCAGACCTACCATATCATGTGAAATGAGCACATCACAGTTGAATTAACTTTTTCCAAGAGACATTTATGTTGACAAATATGCAAAATGAAGTATTTTTCAAAACAACAAACATTTAATACATGTTAAAAATCAAAATTTTATATCCTGGCTGACAATGCTAGAGAACTAGTCTTGATCATCCAGTTATCCGACTGTATTGTCCTTGATTATTCCATTGGGCACACAATGCTAAATAGCTGTGAAAATTACAGAGTATATGCATGGATCACTGCAAATCAGTAATCACACCAGTGCTAGTGAAAGGGTGTGCACGTCCCTGCAATACCGATAACATCCATCACTCAGACAAAGTGACCCGTGAAGATCCAGGTTAGAATGGGTCGGCAACAACCCAGCTTGTAACATTAAGAGTAATGGTTCTGGTGGTGAGGTTCGCTCACATGGTTGACACATATCATCGTATCCCAACTGCCAAGATCGATGCTTATGATTTTGATCACTGGATTGTCTGGTACAGACACGATGATTTACAGACTTCCGCCTTATGGCTGGGATATAGCTGAGACCAGTGTTAAACAACAAACAAACAAATCTGTTTGTTATGAGGATAGTACAGATCTGTGATGAAACAGTCTTGTCTCACAGAATGTCCAAAAGATCAAAACGCTATCCTTTTTGGCATGTTTTAGCCATACTCTCATATTGCATCATATCATATGCCGAAGCTTGCAAGCTACAGAAAGGAAACTGTGTCCTTGTCAGTTGGAGGAACCTGTGTGACATGTTCCATATCAATATTCTGTGATACTTAATAACATACTGTGTTACTGTTCTTTGTAGACAGACTTTTATTATTATTCAAATTGTTCTCATCGCTATATGGCTCCAATATTTCACTCACTCACTCACTCACTCCATATCAATATTGTAAATGCATGATACCTCAAACTCAAACCGTGATTGCATGACAGGCTCGTGTGACATGTGCATGACGTCAATAACTCCTTACAAGCAATACAGAATAAATGAGTCAGTTACTATTGCTTTTCTTACTTTGATCTCAAACTGACCTGTCACCCACATGCAGTAACGGTAAGATCCCAATCTAGGGAGATGCATGTCTATAAAACAGGTCCCTTGGCAAGCAAATTTGAAGGTCATGATGTGAATATTTTTTGTAGTTAACATTATAATTTCTGCCTTCATTGCTATAAGAGAAAGACTCTGGAGCCAAGGTACCTCAGTGTCAGGAGCTGAGCATTTACATTGAGTACATTTGGTTACATTTACAATCAAAGTTGAAAAACATGAACAAGATGAAGAGTGTTGTTTCTAAATATATTGTTTTAATAACAGGAAGTAGAGATTTTTATAACATTAAACAAAAACATATACTACATTCACACTCACACATTCACACATATATTATGACAAGATATTTAAAGCACTGAAGAGATTCACTGTTAATAATATATATATACTGACTGAAAGTTTACCATCATAAACACCAGAAATTTAATTCTCATCAAACAAAGTGTTTGATACATCATAACACTTGGTATATAAACTTGATTCAACATAAAGAATTTAATTCTCATCAAACAAAGGGTGATACATCATACACTTGGTATAAAACTTATTCATGGACCTCCTTCTATAATGAATAGTATTTTCAATAATATTTCTGATTTTAAGCTCCTCTTAAAATAAATCCGAACTAAGAGTCAAAACTCTTCTATATATAAAATACATCATTGATTATTGATGTGGGTTTCTGTTACTTTATCTAAAATAGGTCATTATTTTAACATTATAACATCAAACATATTGGATGAGTTATTTTAGGGGTATTTTTCTCTCATTAAAATCTAAATGTTTTAGTTTCATGCTCCCGTGGATGTTGGGTGTTTGTAGTTGAGTACTGGATGAGTTGTGAAATACAAACAAGGTAAAGCCTGTTAGAGATGGAAATAGACTCTGACATCAATGGACCTGATGCTGATCCATCTTTCATTTAATGTTTTTTGTGATTTTACAATCACTGTTCATTTTCTGAGTCATTTATCATGTTTGATGCTGGCATCATTAGGTTGGCAGGCAGTGAGATTAATGTGAATCCTGGCTGCGACTGAATAAAAGTAATCATTAGAAATCTCGCTTGTACAATTCAAACAATTGGAAAGTTGAAGTCATCCATCTTGTTATTCGGTCTTGTGGATAGTATTTTTTAACACAGTTGACTTACAAAAAAAGGGTTGATGTTTTCTAATTGATTCTAATAATTTGTATGATTATGTTTTTAAATAAATCTTTTCATTTGTCTTTTTGTCAAATTGAAATTAACTGAAATGTGTATAGATTTTGCATTTTTTTGCTGTTTTGTTTGTTTTTAA